GCTATTTTAGTTTATTATCGCTAACAGTAGGTAGTAAGATAGCCCCAAGTGTAGTTATAAAATGATTGATGATTCTACTATATTTGTTAATAATAACTAAGTATACCTATTAAGAGTTAACGCAATAAATACGAAGAACACTGGGTCGATAGTGGTGACGTACGAAACGGTCCTTTTAATAATTAGATGAATTTGACGTTCAATGTAAAATTATTGATTACTGGACATTGTTAAAAGTTTATTACGTAAAAACACTAACAATTCACAAATTTACAATAACAAATAAAATTAATGAAATCAAGGTTCTTTCCTGTGATTTGACACTTAAAATCGAACTGGTATGAATTACCCTAGTAGGTATTTTAATATTGAGATAAATGTAAGCGACGTGCATCAAACCCTTAAGGTCAGATTTCGCACTTTAACAATTCTAGACCGTTCCCATAAAACACTAATTGTCCTAAGAAATCATTACAGTAATTTACGGGTGATAGACTTTAATATTGACAAGTGTGATAATTCTTATCAATCCGATAATAAAATAATGTTTTTAATAAGAAATTTATTAAATAGTCGACGTATGAATATTCCATTCTAAGATCCAAATATTTGTAGCAACAAATCTTTTATAGTACGATTTAATTAGTGGATTGAATTCTTGCGTGGGAAAGATTCTAATTGGAATTCAAGTGAAAAAACCAAACTGGTACAATGAACAATTAACAGAAATAACTATACTTAATAATTAAATTGTTCAATGTAGTTTATTCTTTAGTTAGTCAATTATATATGTATACAGCGTGACCGATACAGAATCAAATACAACATAGAGGGATAAAGCGCGGGATTTATAGATGTAATATATACATTATGGCGTTGAATATCTAAGCTCGCTTTTGTTCGTATAATTGCTTACTTGTCATATTTTTGTGTATTATTAGCGTGTACAGTAAAATATAAATAAATAAATAAATATTATAATACACGTTCACGTCAAGATCACTCGGAACAATATAAAAAAATAAAACATTAGTTGTATTAATTACTAATTATAATAAAATAAAAGGAGGAAAAATATTTGATTTCCTTCCTATTCGTCGTCACACCACAATGATTAGACTGGTGTGATTATTACGCTTCCCTAATGGTAAGTCTTGGACGCTATAATGAATACCGCTTGTTGGCACTATCCTATATGTATTTTCTATAAGATTGATCGTTTCAATTTTTAAAAATCGAAATATTTTGTGTTCATTACAAAACAAATTGATGAGCCTTTAAAACAATAATAAATATATATTTGAGAAATACAGAGCGTAGGCTTAGTCATTGTACATTGTAAAACAAGACGAATAAATACAGAAACATTTGCTTCGTTTTTCGGAACAATTTAATATTTACACAACAACAAAATGTTCCGCATGTGTGTTATGCAGAACATTTTGTTGTTGTAATATTAAATAATTGTATTTTTCTCGTAGGAATAAGTTATGAATTTTTATTCACTTGGTAGGAGTTCTCGCTCCATAAAGTATTTGACCTTTTCCAGATTGTTTTTGTTTAATATAGAAATTCATATCAGTGTTTTGTGCAATGCTTTAAAAATATCAGTTTAAAAAAAGAGATTAATAAAATTTTGATCTCGGATATATACACACATCAAGTGTTTAGGGATCAAGTACGTTTAGAGTATTGCAGCAATTGAGGATTATTAACTTTATTGGATAATTATTCTTTTTAGCGAATTTTACTATTTAAATAGATAATTTTTTTTTAAATTTTTGATAAAAGTAAAAAAAATCAAATTTCGCTGAGAATTTCTATAAGTGTATGTTTACAAAACCATTGATTCTGCATCGGAACTGAAAAAAAATTACATCGATATGAAGCAACATCATTCAACACGAGAAGAGGTCATGAGAGCCGTTGGAATGTTAGAAGCTAGTTTTCAAGAATGTACTGTGGCTGTTTCTCTTGTCACTACCTAAAGTATCATAATCCGTCTCTGGGATACGTTATCGTATTATAAACAGCGTGACCGAGCGACATGGTGGATGATCTAGCATCACCACTCGCAGACAGATATATAAAAAAAAAAAAAAAACTGCTCGATGGAATTGTACCATAACAATTATGTTGGCTACGAGGCTTCACAACTCTTCCTTCAAGGTTTGCTTATACGTGACACAACTATCCAAAGTTGATTATATGAAGTGGGTCTGCATTTCCAAAGGCGGATGAGAGTTGCACCTAGAGCACTCAGCAATAGTAGGGCTCGTTTAGAATGGGGTTGCGAACATAGAAATTAGGAGGGAAAACTGGCATTGTGTCCGTTTCTCTGTTCTCAAAAATCTCGTTTCGGTATGAGACTAGATACAAGGAAGTTCACTCATATGGAGGGGGGAAAAATAATGGTTTGGAGTAGGTATTTAGATCAGTAGAAGAAATAATCTCATTTAGGATCTACGACTTTTTTAATTTGATGGACTGATTTTAAGCATTCCAAATTGTTTTATTGTGTTTCATGTCAATAGTGAAGAGATTATTAATTTAATAATGTTTATGACAAAAATTTAAAAATTCTAATTTTTGCAATTGAGCAATATAGGTATAAATTGGATTTTTCCATAATTTTTTTAAAAATTGCAACTTTTCTTCATTTGTAAAAAATATAGAGATAATTTGTTAACTTAAACATAGAAAATAAAAACAGTCTGAAAGATTACATTTGGTAAATATTAATTCAATTTTTCATAGTTAAAAAAGTACTTGAGCCCTAGACACTTGGTGTGTAAGTAGATTATGATTCTGCAGTCGACTTCTACAGGTAAATGAAACTTTAAAATATAATGTAATCTTTTAATGAGCCGCAAACTATGGTTGCCACATCAAAAGAGGTACGATGATTTTGTTATATTTAGACTAATCGAAAGTATATTCTTTTCTATACATTGTAACGTACTGATTTGCTCGTTCTAGATAAATATTACTGGTCATATAAAATTGGTTCCTTGCAATAAAACTGATGATGAAATGGGCAGTCGAGACCTTCTTAAAACATCACCAAAGCCTGTCAATTGTGGCAACTACTGGCAAAACACCACTTATGTGTGAGGGATACTTTAAGTAGTAGACAGTTAACAGTTGATATAAATGATAAAATTTACATTGAACAGAAATAGGTATTTATAGGTAGGTTGCAGTTAACTGCAGCAGGCAATCCGGGTGCAATGTATATTTTCTTAGCTTATCAAAACGACCATCGGTCGTGGCTCCATGGGCAAGATGTGTCTAAAGTAAAATTATAATTTTGCGACTCTTAGAAAATTGTTTTATTATATATTTCCTATGATTATTATATTTTTCAATTTATTGATATTAGACCGAAGGCGTATTTAAAGCCTAGAGGGAGGGAAGAAGGCGTGCGGGTCGTACCCACCCTAAGTAATACCCTTATAATGTGCGCACATTTTTAATGTAATTTTTTACGCTGAACATTGACTAAGCCCATTATAAAACATCTTCATTTTACGACTTACCTGGCGGGAACGTATTGCAGTCTTACCTGTTTCCGCCGTGAAGCATGTTTTTTGTTTCGGTTTGAACAGTAATGTAGCCAATATGCAAAATTTGAACAGTAGTGTTATTCTGTAATTTCGTATATGTAAGCGACTACTATTCATTTGGTGAGCTTGTTTGCGGTTCTTATTAATATTAAAGGTAACGAACTTGCTACGACGAAGTTGTTCCAGGTGATCTTGTGTAAACGTGATCGATCGTACCATAGTGTATAATTATTATTGTTTTTAGTACCATCAAAGCATATTAGGTTGTTTTAATATTTAAAATTATCGTCATAAATTATCTGTGGTCGTATTAAGAATTATCACACCAGTTACCCATTAACTATACCTTGCTTGATATGATGGCATAGAGTGTGGGTCGAACCTTCAGTCGGGTTTACTTATAGTAGAGTTATCGTCCAAAATTGTAGGTCACCTTTGAAAATTCTAGCTTAAATCCTTTTGCGATGTTCCGATCCCGTCTTAAAATAAGCCTATCATATAGTTTATACAATATGATAGCCTGTGATGGGTAAATCAGTCAGTATATTTTCTAACATAAATCACATTTGTCAAGATTTAATTGCCTACTTATTCTAATATTTTTAAATAGGATATAACAATTGGTTTTAGTTACTAATTCTAACAATCCTATCAATTCCAAAATAAGAAGTAGTGAAGATATGACAACTAAATTTCAGATTTACTTCGAAAAATACCTATTTATTATAAATCTAAAATTTTGCAATAAACACTACAGTCATTGGAATTAGATGAAAGAATTTCACTGTAGATACCTATTATAGCTTAATATTCGATAGTAAGTCTTAAGGATAAAATAATTAAATTTTATTTTACTACTGTACTAATTATTCTTAGCTACATATTAAGAGGTCTAGATGTGTTATATACGCTCATAAATATAAAAAAAAACATGACTTCTCATAGTATTGTTTGAGGTTCAAAGAAAACAGAAAGCTACATAATAATATCCTATCAGCATTCTTTAAACGAAATATCGAATTCAACGTTACAAGCCTAGATCTTATTATAAACAAATATTGGTTCTTAAATTCTTTTTTATAATAAAAATGCACTTTCCAGATACATAAATAAGTACCTAGTTATATTTTATCCTAGTATAGTTACTGATTAAATGATTTAAAACTTTTTTTATATTTTACTTCGGATCTCCCGTCATGAATGTCGAAGTTTCACATCTGGAGCGCCGGTTGATTCCAACAGCCCTTTTCCGCAGAAGGTGATTCCGCAGAAGGTACGCCAGTACTGTCAGCACTTCATGTTTCAGTCTTTGAACAGATTTAGGTCAATATTGAACGAAAGATTTGTATTGCATGTATTCAGCATTTATTTGCAAGAAATACTTTACAAGCGATGTACACTTTGGAACCGTTATGTTATACATTTTAGACTTACCACATGTGAAATTGTAATGTAAACTATAGCGTGAACTTGATGCCACAGAGTAAAGCATAGCACAACTGGAGAAACCTGTAAAAATGCAATGTATTAATATTGAATCAAGTATTAAGCTGATTAAATTATACTTACGCTTCGGCTTAGGAGGAATTAATTTTATAGCACCCGGTTTTTCAATGATTTCAATAGTTTTAGCCTTCTTTTCTGGTGGAGTTTCGTTATGAACTGGCGATGGTCTTTTAGGTATTGTAGGTGGTAGAACAGGTGTGACCTTTTTACTCAGTAGCGCGGCACGTGAGGGTGGAGGTTTGATTTCCTCTTCCAAGCCATGTCTCCTAAATTTAGAATGAAAAGTTTTTACTGTTTTAGGTTTAGGATCATCCGGTTTTCTAACTTCTATTGAAATTGAAGGTTTTTCTTTTTTGACATCACTCAATTTTGGTATTTTTCCTAATTTATGAATGGATGGTGATAAAGGTTTTTCTTCAGTCTTTTCAGTAGACGTCTTTTGTGCCTGTTTCTCCTTATCAAGCTTAACCTTATTTTTTTCCTTATCATAGACTTGTTTACTGCTCTTGTCATCTTTAGACTTCATAGAAGAATTTGATTTATCGTTAGATCTTTTACTATTACTATCGCTTTTAGATTTGGAACTATGAGAGGAACTTTTATATTTATCTTTTTCCTTATCTCTCGACCTATCTTTACTACTATGTCTGCTAGAACTACTGCTTTTATGACTACTGCTACCTTTATGTTTATCATTGGATGACGAATGTGATTTACTCGAATATTTTGAGGAATTAGATTTAGAACTACTACTGCTTCTTTCACTAGATTTAACTTTATTTTTGGTTTTGCTCTTATCTTTTGCTTTTTCTGTATCAGATGAGCCATCAGATAATTTACATTCAATATCTTCTACTTGGGAGATAACTTGCTTGCCTTCTTTTAAAGAAATCCTTAAGACAGGTAAATTTTCTTGATCTTCAATTTGTTCATCTTTAATATCTTTCTCTTGCTTGATTACATCATTAGTTTCCGCAATAACTTCATCTGATTTAACAGCGACAGCAATTTCTTCCTCTGTAGTATGTGGGGTGTTTTGAACATCAGACACAGTTTTAATCTTAGTTACAGCATTATCCTCATTTTTTAAAGTAACAGAGAAATTACTTGCAAATTCCGATTCTGATACAATTTGAGTAATGTCAGATAGTTGAATAGGCACTACTTGTTCTCCTTTTACAGTCTTGAGCCATTGCTCAACCAATTTTGTAGCAAGGGCTCTAATAGCTAAAATAGAAATATTATATATTAAAATAAAATAACATAAGAACTACTATTTACATGGATGGAATAGTTTGACTGTATCAATAAAATAAATTGGCTACTTAATAAATAAATAATAGTTCGTTAGTATAATCATCATGTCAGCCTTTATATCTCCACTGCTGAACATAGACCTCCCCCTTGGGGGGTTTGTCCGTAGTTACCACAGTTGGGAGACGGATTGACAACCGGAGTCAGATGTTTTAAGAGGGACGCTGATGCCCAGCCCTCATCCATTAGTTATTTAAGTAACTCATTAGTATATTTCTAGTAAAATATTGTCTATAATTGTGTACAATGTCTCTTATAAGCACATTGAATTATTTGAATGCCACTGTAAACTGTATTTCTTTATGTTGTCTTCTATTTAGTTTAGAATTTTTAATAAAAAGAATATCCTATATTTCCTAATTTATTATACGAGTAATTATCAATCACAAAAATATATTACTTACCGAAATGGTTACCATCCTTTGACAATTCCTTTACAAGTTTTGGGCAATTGTTGGTTTTCAATCGCTCTATGTCAACGGGGCATAGTAATAAGAGTTCTAGCAATTCCCTGACAAGTGGCCAATTTTTTGCCACTATACTCTCAGTTAGCCACATGTGTACTAATAGCCAACCACCAGATCCCATGAACATACGTAATATTTCAGTATCAGTGCATTTTAAAATTTGTATATATATACATTTTGATACCAGTTTCTTGGAGAATTTTGTCATCAAACTGTAAAGAAAACACTTTATAATTATTAATTTTCAAATTATAGGACATAAGGCAGGCTTATCAACCATTGTAACATAAAAAAACGTACTTGGAACTATCCCGCTAACTTTTAGATATATTTTATAATGTAGCCTACATTTACAGATTTTGGAAAATACAGAGGCCCATTTCTTTGTTATTAACAAAGTAATGGGCAAGTTATAAAAATATTTTCCTTATTATGAAAGACAATACAGTCAACTTTGGAGATGCTATATAATAGAAAGTACAAGAAAAATTAAAAGTTTAAGAAATTACTAGTCCTTTCCATATATATTCCGTAGGAAATAAGATCATGTATTTGTAGATAGAAAATTTCAATTTTAAAGAAATGACACCTAAGAATAGATTCAAATATATTAAGTTTTTGAGACTAGGTAAAAAATCTAACGTGTGTAAATATTTTTAGTATCATCCAAATCACTCACATCCTTTAAGGATACTATTGGGCTCTGACTCGGTGCATCATCATAATAATAAATAAAATTATTCTAAAACAACATAAAATGAGTAAATTATAAAAAATAACCATACAAGAACTTTCACAATGAAATCTTACTTTGCCAGTCTCTCAACTTCGCCTCTACTCTTTATTCCACCAGTGGGTGACAGAAGTACACTGAGACACTCCAACAATTTGATTGGATCAATGCGTGGCTGCAACAAATAAAAACATAGAGTGAATAGTTTTATAAAAGACAAGTACTGTGTATTTAAGAAATAAGGAACGATCCCGAGTCACTTGCATCCACTCAATGAAACTGTAATGGTATAACGTGGAGATTCAGTCGTTAAAACATATTCTAATCCTAGAATGGTTACGCAATTTTAGTCGTTTAATCATCATGCCATCAAATTGTTACTGTATTAATTTTTAGGGTTCCGTACTTCTGAAAGAAAAAAGGGCACCCTTGTCCTACAAGGGTGCCCTTTGCGTTTTGTCGTCCATTTGTCTGTCAAAAACCATTTTCACAAGAACACGAGGATATAGATATTAAAGCTTAAATTAATATCAAATACTCAAGTCTGCAATCCCTTGAAGCTTTGAAAAATTAAACTTATAAATATATAAAAATACGAGTGCTTATAGAGCATACTTTAACATTTGCAAAAGAATCAAACTTATAGGGAACTTCCCGTTAACATAAAATCATAAAATTTGACAAGAAATAACTTATATTTTGTACTGAATCCCGTGAGTTCGAAAGCGAAAACTAATACTACATATCTTAAATATATCTATTTGCGTATACGTGTAAATAAATAATTTCGATTGAACGAGCTGGTACATTCGATTCGATACGTCAACAAAACATTTTTAGGAGTTCAATTACTGAACTACTCATAAAAACATAAATATTATTGTAGCGCATTATTGACGTCTTGTAAAAATATGGACAATGAAACCAAACATTCAGGACCCGAAAACAAACAATTTCGAACAAATTCCCGTGAAAACCTAAAAATTTAAATAGAAAATGTTATTTAAATTTCCTATTTAAATTTTAAGGTCTAAGTTATTAGGTAACACAGGGATATTATTCATAGACGGATACAACGATTTATTTATAAACTAGCTTTTGCCCGCGATTTCGTCCGCGTTTCCGTCGTTTTTCCTAAAATAAGTAGCCTATGTTCTTCCTCACGGTTCAGTGGTTTTGATGTAACAGACACATTTCCCTTCACTGCTCTGCTCCTATTAATTGTAGCGTGATAAAAAGTATACTATAACCTGCCCAAGAGTATGAATAACAATTGTACCAAGTTTCGTTAAAATCCGTCGAGTAGTTTTTGTTTCTATAACGAACATACAGACAGACAAAAATTTTACTGATTGCATTTTTAGCATCAGTATTCAATCGCTAATTACCCTCGATAGTTATTTGGAAAATATATTTCATGTACAGAATTGACCTCTCTACAGATTATAAGTATAGATTACATTTGTACATAAAAATAAAAATGAAACAAATTTTGTGATTTTATTGAAGGTAGTTGTTTATTATGTTTAGACCGCAGATTTCTAAATAATAAACAAACACCTTTGTGAAACTTATAGAATTTAATATTAGCACGATTATAGATCAGGAACGACACATGATTTTTTTTTTTATAATTAATATAAAATAGCGAATATAAAAAAAAAAGTATCACAAATATAATTATATTCTTATGTAAAATTTTGATAAAAATTGGTTATCTTTTTCAACAGTAAAATATGTACATAAATAAGCGATAAAATATCCCCAGTTATTTAGAGCCGCAATTCTGCAGAATCTTCATATGGGTTTAAGGAATTCCTTGAAGAAAATGGGAATGTGAGGTAACACAGGAAAAAGGTAACTAAAATGTCAATAATACTTAACATTATTTATAATTATGTTCCATAAAAAAGAACCCGGAATTTTAAAACTAGTTCTTTATACAACTGACGTAATTAGTAAGAACAGAACTCTCAAAATTTCCCATAGGAACAGGAAGTAGATTGTTATCGCGGAACTTATATAGTATTATTTATTTATAGTAGCATATATAAATCCCTTCGAGTGTACAAAAATGTACAAAAATACAAACTGATAAAATGTATCACATTCATATGCCAATACATATGAGTATAGTAAGCACTTTCACTTTACTTTCACCTTACCTACTTTGAAGTTTCAATACGAAAACATTAGAAAAACAGGTAGGCGTGCAATGAGTAACAAACAAGTACATTTTAATGTAATAACTACCGGTTTAACGTACGTGTAATTAGGTTAAGAAAACTCGATTAATTTTACGGATAGGAAATTACAAAATCCACGCGCACGAAATCGAGCACAAAGACTAGAATACAAGCACATTACAGTCATTCGATTCAGTTGTAACATCGTACTTAAAAAGCGCGTTATTCTTTTTATAGACCAGTCACAAAAGGGTCACGAAAAGGGCAATTTAATGGTAACCAGGTACGATAACAACTTATGAATCTATGTGTGATGGCAAACAAATTTGAATTTACACAAAAATAACAATACTTATAATACCCGAGTAATGAATAATTAGAAGATAATAACTATCGTGAGTCATATTGCAATTATTTATGTTGGTTTTACTCATGTTTTAAATTCGAGCATGTACGACTATTTTCTAACTTGATAGGAGACTTTATTAATAATTATTATAGTATACTGTGATAAGTATTATCAAGTTTGAAAATAATCGAGCGTCCGCGAATTTAAAAACTGAGTAACGCTAATTTATTCATATTAGCTTTACTCATTTCATCATTGTAATTAAGCACGTTGAGCCAGCCAAGTGAGTGTCATTGTTTATCACATTGTCTGGCCATTGTGATCATTGAGTAATCTAGATACATTAGATGGGGAAGGGAAACAAACGCGTAACACGTGCTGATCAATCAGTCTGCGATTATTGCATAAAAAAACCGTGTAATTCAAAATGCCATTAAAGCGACAATTGTTAATAATAAAATTGTAACTAAACGATGTCTGTACATGGAATATATTTAAGAAAAAAAAAATGATATGAGGGTTCAATAAGACTAAATAATAATAAAAACCAAAACAATATTAGAAATTTTGTGTCTGTATGTTTGTTCTGGCATCCTGCAAAAAGTACTGTACTAAATTAGATGCGGTTTTCACTGTTGTATTTTTGCAGGTCTGACTTAAAAACTGGTTATGTTTTAACTTGATACTCTATTTATAAGTGGTCTATTTTATCGGTTTTCCTATTTCTGAAATACACGCATATAAAGTATTGTGCAAGAAGCTAATATTAAATAAATATGTTACTACTAATGCTCATATTTATTTCATAATCTGGAAATCCGTGAAACGAAGATTTAACATCTTGTATTGTCTTATTTTGTTAAATTTTAACTGCTAAAAACTATTGGATTTTAAATGTATAACCACTTCCTTATATGTACAAATTACAAGTCCAATTACTGATTTTTTTAAAGATTAGTTAATTTTAAATTTAATAATTATAGGTTTGAATTTCTATAAGACGAGTAAAATTTGTTACTTGTATGTCATAAGATATATAAAGTTAATGGCCAAGAATGAGTTGCTATAAGACAACACAAAATTAAGAGTATATGTATATTATTGAACTTAATAACTAGTAAAAAATATAGTGGTTTATTGCTATAAGAACACATAATCAAGTAACCAATTTATCCAGTTTCTGGCCACAGGGATACAGATCCAGAACGTTCATTCATAACTAAGATGAATTTATTATTTGATTATCAAAATGCTAACATTATATTAAAAAAATACAGTAGACCCTATTAACCAGTAATTAAGGCAACATTTCAAAAAAATATGGCGACTGAGAAATGATAAATTAACATCTGGAAAACAATGGAAGTGGTCGACAAGTGAAATGGGTTGTTTCATTAAAAATTTTGTTTTTGATTTTTTTCTAAATATATTAAATATAACTTAGATTAAGCCAAATAATGTGTTTTATATTAGTGTGTTTTATAACGATTAATTAAAGAATCAAGTGGTAAACACAAGTGTTACTTTCTTATTTAGAATAGCAAGAGTGCGTAAATTTTTAGGGTTTCAGGGTGTGTTTTCTGGTTTCGTCTACCTGTCCAATTGTTACAGCGATATATTTATATCTTATCAACTACTAACACTAAAATATTATTGGTCTGTTTGAACCCATAATTCTCATTGAATTGATTTTAATAAAATTTCTGTGGGAGCGATATCCTTTCAGATAAAAAAAAAGGATTTTCCAAATCGGTTCGTAATTGATGGAGACATGAGGTAACAAACAAAAAAATCTAAGTTTTTTACTAGGGGGATTTAAAAGGGCTTCAACAATTGTCAGCTGTTAACTGTAAGCGTTATCAAGTGTTTCAGTTTGAAAGCAGTCATATAATACATAAGCAAACCACTTTATGTCTTCATGCATTCCTGAGGAACGTATAAGAGTAAGTATATCTTTATATATTACAGAAGTTAAGCGATTTTTATTCTTTGTAGTGTAAAAAATGTATGTAAGTATGGAGGGAACAATAAGAGATAGTCAATACAGCACTATTTTGATAACTTTAAATTGTTACATCTCAGTTCCACTATGAAAAGTAAATTACATTAAGTAAAAAAAAGTACGTAAGTAAATAACTTTATTATTAATTATTTTTTTTAATTATTATTAAAGGCAGAAGAACAGCTTTTATCTTAAAATATAGTTCAATATATGATTGAACTATATTTTACTCAAAAATAAAAAAAGAAATAAACTATTCAGGTGCGAATTGATCTCACATACCCAGTTTCATATATAAAGATGAGATAAAATATAAATAATATACTGGGCCGAATACCTATTTACTTCCGGAGTTAGTTACATTACATACATACATTAGTTCTTCTTGTGCTTTTTAAATATAATGCACCTACACCGCAGTTTAAATACAATAAATTAATCACACAATACATGACAATGGATTCTGAAATTAAACCTACGACCAATAAGTTCTTTCAATGCAATTTATAGAACCATTATAAATTTACAATTGGGGAGGACGACAAATAAAGATTTAAATAATAATTATGTAAATATTTACTATTTATTCAACTTCAAATCCCTTTATTTTTATTACTTTATAGTACTAGGTGGTATAA